TCCTATAATCATCGATCAATTTCTGCTTTCATTTCTCAGTTTTTGCTTCATTTATTTTGAAGTCCTTTTATTAGGTACATAAACTTTTAGGATTATTAAGCAATCTTGAACTAATTTTTTTCTTTCCTTTCTTTTCTTTTTTTTTATGATTCTGAAATGATCCTTTTTATCTGTGGTAATCTTTATCCTAGAATCTCTATTTTCTGATATTAGTATAGTGACTCCAGCTTTCTTTTGATTAGTGCTGGCATGGCTTAATGTTTTTCCATTCTTTATTTTATACCTATCTGTGCCTGTATATTTAAAGGGGATTTCTTTTGGGATTTCTTTTCTTCCTAAAGTTATTCCTTTAACATTTCTTGTGGTACATGTCTTGTACTGATAAATTGGCTGTTTTTTGGCTGTTTTATATCTGACATATTGTTTGGCCTTTTGAAAGATACTTTTACTAGGTCTAAAACTCTAGATTGATTTTTTCCCCCTTTTCGTATTTTACAGATGTTGCTTAACTGTCTTGCATTATTTCCTGTGTGAAATCTCTAGTATTTCTTACTTTTGGTCCTCTAAGTAGTGTGTTGTTTTCCTTTGCTTATAATACGATTTTTGTTTTTTGTCATTAGTTTTTACCAATTAGATTGTGATATACCTTGGTGTAGTTTTCTTCATGTTTTTCCTCCACTGGGTTTGTTTGTTGAGCTCTTTGGATTTGTGAGTATATATTTTCACTTAATTTGGGAAAAAAAGTCAGTCATTATTTTTTCAAAAATGTTTTTGTCCCTCCCTCTCTTTCCCTTGTATTGGAGACTCAAACTACATGCATATTAGGCCACTATAAAGTTGTTTTATAATTCACTAATGGTTCTGTTCTTTTTTGGTGTTTGTTTTAGGCTCTTTCTCTGTTTTATTTTTAATTTTCTGTGTTTTGAGGTACCCTAAAATCCTCTTTTGCAAGGCTTAATCTGCTAATACTGTCTACCATCTCAGACATTGTACTTTTCATTTCTTTGATTTGGGTCATTATCTTTCCTGTTTGTTCTATTTAGCATACTCCTGCTTTTCTCTACCTTCTTGGGTATCTATAATGTAGTTAAAACTGTTGAAGATTTTTTAAGGAATTCTATTATTTGCCATTTTTGTATTTCTCTGGATTTTCATCTTTATTATGAATCTTATTTTCCTGTCTCTCTGCATGCCTGGTATAGTTTGATTGGATGCCAGACACTATGCATTCTAACTATTGTGTGCTAGATAATTTTATTTTCTTAAACATTCTTGATTTGTTCTAAGATGTAGTTAAATTACTTGAAAACAGTTTAATTTTGTCATGGTTTGCTTGTAAGCTTTGTAAGGCAGAACCAAAACAGACTTTAGCCTAGATTTAATTTGGTTCTACTACTGGGGCATTAGTCTTCAGCATGTATATGTGTATATGTATGTATGTATGTACATACATATATATTTTGATGATAACTTTTATAGGACAAGGTTTTCCACTCTTGCTGGTCAGAAACAGGACTATTCCCAGCCTTGTGTGAGTTCCAAGATTGTTTTGCATGTTCTGTTCTCATGGGTCCTCAGCTTTTGGTGGTTTTCTCACATACGTGCAACTGTCATACTCAGCTGATTACACTGATTCTCTAGGTTTATTCTCTGTAGATTTCTCTCTTTTCCACGTATTTCTTTCCTCTTTGATACTGTACCTTGTGAATTATAGGTACCTTTGCCTCCCCCGACTTAACCCCTCTATCTCAGATTAGGGGCAATGTTGGACTCCATTTGGTTCTCCATCCTTGCTGTGTAGCCTGAAAAATCTTCAGAGAGTAAGACTGGAGAGCTAAAGAGATTTTCTCATTTGTTTCCCTTCTTGCAAGTATGACTGTCTTTTAGTGTCTATTTGATGTCTGAATATCATCGTTTCATGTATTTTTTTGTCCAGTTTTTACCTAACGTAGAAAGTAAGTCCTGCCACTGTTACTCCATGTTAGCTAGAGGCAGAAATCCTCTTTCAGTGTCTTAAAAGTTGTATTGTTGCTTTTTTAAAATTTTGCTTTGAGAAGTGTGGTGCTACTCTTATTCTGTTTCCCATATACCATTTGAAATTTTTTTTTTAATGTTTATTTATTTTTGACAGAGAGATGGAGCATGAGTGGGGGAGGGGCAGAGAGAGAGAGAGACACAGAATCCAAAGCAGCTCCAGGCTCTGAGCTGTCAGCACAGAGCCCAACGTGGGGCTCAAACTTACAGACCCTGAGATCATGACCTGAGCTGAAGTCGGATGCTCAACCGACTGAGCCACCCAGGCGCCCCTCCCATATACTATTTGATCTTAGCAGTTGTGGACTTTTTATTGTTAAGGTCTGCATATTAAGATAGCTCTTAGAGTGGATCGTTAGAAGTCATTTCTCACATGTTCAGTTGGCTCTTTTCCTTATGTGAATTGCCAGAAAAAATACTTGGACTGTAATTTAAAATATTTTTTCTGCTATCTTATTTTCAAGTTCTCCAGTTCTTTGTGTATTGTATTGTCTTTACCTGTTTCCACTTCAATTGCTTTTTTCTGATGGTTTTTAATTTTTTTCTCATTTGGTGATTTTCTGGCTTTTTGTTTGCCTCTTAAGAAACTTAAAAAATATTTTATTGGAGTAAAGTATACATAACCTTTGCCAGTTTAACCATTTTATTTTAAGTAATCACTACCCCAGCTTGGGGCTTGAACTCACAACCCTGAGATCAAGAGTCATGCAGTCTACCAATTGAGCCATTCAGGCACCCCACCTCTTACGAAATTTTTATTTTGCTCTGTTCTTCCTTGAGCACCTATTAATTTATTCCATTCTGGTATTTTATCTTTTTCTGAAGTAAAATTTTTTTCCTTACAATTTCTGTTCTTGGTTTTTGAATTTCTGAATATTAGTACAAATACTTACTTAATGATAATATAATTCAGTATTGTAATTTGTTTATGCCTGTGTTTTTTGTTTGCACAGGTGATTTGTTATCACTTGAAATGTTTTCTTTCATTCTGGTTTTGACTCCTAGCTTGATATTGATGAAACCAATATCTTGGTGAATTTGGTTGTTGACAATAGTTTATAAAATTCCTAGCTTAAGTATAATTTCTTCTGTACGTGAAGCAAATTGCAGTTTATTTAGTGGATAATTTTTTAGTAGTGTTGAGGGAGGAGTTGAGTGTTTTTATTTTGTTATATAAGCTCCTCCATTTCTCACTCTTAATTTTTCCTCCTAACATCCATTTTCCAAAGGATGGCTCTACCTGCCTTTTTTATCGTCTATTCATATATTTCTTTTCCAAGGTGAGCCTCTTGACTTTTGTGTTTATACTAAGCCCCCCTACCCGTAGTCAGTGCTCTGATATACCAAACTCTTTATTATTATTTTAACACTTAGTCCAATTCCTCTTCTCTCTTCCATGCTTTTTTTTCTGAACCCCCTAGTTCTTTAAGAGGACTTGCTATGGAAGTCCCAGGGTAGAAGCCACTAGAAAGTGGTTTTTATTTTTCTTCCTAGGTAGCTTGAAGTTTATAGTGCGCTCTCTCTGATTTTTCTGGAGACATGGGAGTTTTGTGGTTTTAATTTGTTCCTAATATTGATCTATTTGGGAGGATGAGTGGAGAGATTCAGATTTAGGCAACTCTCTGTACCTTGTTCCCTGCAACCTGGAAGTTCTTCTTGAGAACAATTAACATTTTTTATATGCTTCAACTAAAAAAAGCTAATTTTGAACATTTTCTTGAATCAGAAAAATATTGTGACATGTAACATGGCATTTGACCTTTTAAAATGGCTGGATTTTGCACATAAGGGACTTTGGAATTTTATTCTTTCAGATAACAGATCGGTAGAGTAGTTTTACTATTTTTCATGTAAATTTTGAATTCCAGATTGTTCTTACACCTATGTGTGGGATGTCTATAAAGTTAGGTTAAAGTTACTACATAATATCTTCTAGTGCTTTAATGAAATAGTGAATTATTGTTACTTGACCTTTTGAAAAGGTCAGTAGTACATTTTGTTTCATTTTTTTAAAGGACATTTAAATGTAATGAAAGTCAGAACTGTAATATTATCATGAAAGTAAAGGTTATGGGGTACATTTAATTGTGTTCCTCTAGTTTTGAATCTGCTTTGAGGGAGCCTGTGCTAAAATTCTCATGGTGATTATTTTTCGAGAATTTTATTACTCTTTTTCATTTTATATTGTTGGAGTAAAAGATTATATTTCTGTTTGTCTTTTTCTGCTTACCTTTGCTCAGATCATGTGTATTATCCTATTTAAGATATAAAGTTTAAGCTGCTTACCCATTCACTTTCTCAAGAAAGAAACTGAATATGTTTTTCAGAGAACAGTTCTTTCCTAAGAAAGACTCTTGAGTAAAACTTGGTATATTCAAATGTATAGCTTGTGAATATTTAAAATAAATATTAGTGACTTTATTCATTAATGGCACATGAATGTGGGAGAATTAAATATTTTGTTTTATGAAAATGTTTCTCTCATGTCTGTATGTTCAGATTATGGAACTAAATATATTTTCATTTTATTAAAATTAGGAAATCGAAAAACAAAGCTGGTAATGTATCAGATGCTCTTATTTTACATTGTGATTTTTTCTTCCATAATCAAAGCAATTGAAGGAATTTCTTCACAGACTTATTTTGTAAGAAATACTTAAATTTCCTTGTTTACATTAACAATTTCTTAATATTTCTTCTGACATGAGTTGATTCTAAGACTCTTTGTTTTGATTTCCCAGTAATTACAAAGTTTCTTACATTTTTAAGTTATTTTTCCTCAAATGCAATATTTTATTCTATACATTTTAACAAATGTAAAGATTTGGATGAAGTTAATACCTTTTAGAAGATAAAGGAAAAACCTTGCTGTTTCTATGTGATTTTTTTTAAGTTTAACTTTTTTTTTTTTTTAACATTAAGCAAAAGATGAAAATTTGAGTGAACCTTTTCAATATTTTCCACAGGGACGAGATTTTCACCTTAGAATAGAGTTGCCTGAAGATTTACAAATGAAGAATGCAAGGTGATGTGGTGTTTTGTTATATACATGCATCTTGCCAGGATGGACAGTCATTTAATCTGGTAAAAGCTGATGCTAGCAATTAGTTTTGCCTAAAGTGCTTATTAGCCAGCCAGAAATGTTTCCGGTTTTTTCAAATCAGCGTACATTTGTAAATTATTTTCCCTTGTGCTGAAGTACTTTTCAAAGGTAAAACATTAATTCTCTAATTTTTTTTCTCATTAAAGTAGTAAATAGCAATTGTGTAATGTACCTCTTGGTACAGACAGCCCTTCAAGGAGTATCAAGAGATGAGACTGGAAAGTAGGCAGCATCTACAAATCTCATTTCTGTTCTTAAACATCTCTGGGAGTAGAGTGGACAAAGAATCCAGAGACATTGTTAGTAGAATTGACTGGATTTTGTGACTAATTAGAAGTAGGAGATCGAGGAAAAGAGTTGTGAAGGATGCTTTCCAACTTCTGGCAACACTAAGCTAGAGAAGAGGTTAAAGTGGAGAAGTAAGAGAGCCATCATTTAGAGATGTTGTCAGGTGTGAAGTATCAAGAGGAGATGTTTAGTGTATTGGCGTTGAAATCAAGTGTGAGACATGCAAGTCACAGTAGGCATGGGATTTGGGCCTGTTAGTATGGATACTTTCCAGTTTCTGCAAGTGCGGGGTGAAAAGAGAAAGCCAATGTTTAAAAGACTTGAGAGTATACCAACATTTACAGGACTGGTAAATAAAGAGGAACTTGGAAGAAGAGTAAGGACTGACCAGAGAAGTAAGAGGAAAATCTGGACGACAATTATCACTAAAGCTATGAAGAGGCTTAATGAGAAAATGGTTCACTGAGTATTGCAGAGGGATCAGGTTAAATATGAATAGGTTTCGTGTAGTGGCAGAAAGCAAATTGTATTGGGTTTGGGAGTGGGTAAGGGAGTAGAAAGAAAACATAAACAGGATAAAGTACATTTGACCCTTGAAGAACCCAGGATTAAGGGGTACCAATGCCGCATGCACTTAAACATTTGCATGTAACTTTTGGCTCTCCCAAAACCGTTGACCAGAAACCTTATCAATAACATGAACAAGTTGTTTAACACTTGTATACTGTATGTTGTATGTACTATATACTGTATTCTTAAAGCAAACTAGAGAGAATGTATTAAGAAAATCATAAGAGGAAGTGGCGTTTATAGTACCGTATGTATATTTATTGAAATAATCTGTAAGTGGACCTGTGCAGTTCAACCAGTGTTGTGCAAATGTCAATTCTATTTTGAAAAAAAGGAGTGGCTAGAGAAGGGTAATGCAGTCAAAGAAGAGTTGTAATGATCTTGTTTTTTTAAGTTGAGATTTACTTGGGCAAGTTAATATATTAAGTTGAAAAAACTAGCAGAAAATAAAGATATGACAGTAAAGTGATAATGAATTGGTCAACTTGGCAAGGGATGGAACGTACATTTGGAGAAGAAGTTTTCTTGTGGGCAGTTGAATGAACTACTTTGTTATTAAGAGAGGAAATAGGGTGGAAATGGAGGTTAGCAGACCAAAAATGGGAGAGAGTCATGATGTCCTGAAGGGGCTATAATTGGGGAAACTCAGAGGTGCTTCCTACTTCAAGGTAAGGAAAAGCACATCTTAGAAGAGTTACTCATCTAAGCAATATCAAGAGCACAGCTGAGGTGAGCCAGTGGATAGACGAACACTAACTTATTACTACTTATATAATTAAAAGTACCTTTTACAGTAATCTTTAATTTGAAGATTATATCATTACATATGCTTTCTCAAATACAAGTTCTGTACATTATGATCAAAACTGTTGGTTTTCTTTAACCTAACTTGGAGAATAATCTAGTTCAATAGCAAATTTTGCTTTGGATATGGTTAAAAAAAGATTTACTGTTTGCATGTCATTTACTGATTGCAGTTATTTATATTTTGAAATAAAGTTAGTCCCGACAGTTTGAAGACAAGACTTTCAACAGTATCAGTGGTAAAAAATTTTATTAACTTGTCAGAATTATATTTATGTCATTCTTTTCTATGTACATGCGTGTTTGTGCTAGCATACAAATAAGTTTTTTCCTTTTAATTCTGAACAATAAAGAAACCATTTTGTTCCATTAAATTTTAGATTATTATGTAGTTGGCAACTGAAAACAATACTTAATGGATACCATCAAATAATACAACAGGTAAGTCCTTTAAAAAGTGTGTTTTAAGCAAGGATAAGAAATTACAAAGTTAACTCTTTTTTAGAGGACTGTTTGCAGAACGTTGTAACAAACTGGTTTAATAGTTGCTGACTTTTGTAGGTTTCATTTCTATTAAATATTTTAAGGATCCATGCATTATAGAAAGTGTTTTCTCAGAATCCTCCGTACATCTCTAGGCAGCATTTGTTCTGAAACTGATTTCCATCCTGGAGACTTGAGGGTCTTCAAATGTATAGCCATCATGCATAGCCATCACTTTTTTGAGAGATTTTTTTGCTGAGACTGAATAGTGGTAGTAAGGAGAAGAAAACCAGGACCCATTTAGGAAATGTAGAGTATCTGTGGCAAAAATGGGATTGTAGTTCTAGATTAGGAACAGGAAAGGTGTGGTGGAAATCACTTAGGATCATACATAGTACTTAATGAGTGTACATGTAAATACAGCATACATGAGGTATAGACAGGATTCATCTTTTTTTTTTTTTAATTGTCATAACTGGAAGTTTGTATTATGGATTACCTACACCTATTTCACCCTCAGCCCCACTGTAGTTATTCTTGATGTTTAGGTTCTGCCTGAAAATTCTTTTAAAAATTAGAGAAACTTAAAAAAAGTCACTGTTACTAAAGAAACCAAAAATAAATGAAATGCCTCTTGTAGAAAAATAAATGTAAGTAGAACTGCATTTCCTTTGATGCTTTATTCATTTGTATGTTTTTCCTGATTTCTGCTATTCCTATATTTTTTCTATCTTAAAAGCAGGTTATTATCTATGATAACTGACAATGACAGTCACTCTCACATAAAGCATTACCGAACCACAAAGAAATATAGGAGATAAACTATTTGATTTGTAGAATGTAGGCTGTCATTGCTGGCAGCATAATTACTGCAGTTTTTTAAGGGGATATTTAAATTATTTCTCTGTTTTCTTTACACTGCCTCATCCTCATCCACTGTGACTATTTATATTGTATACTAGAGTTTAAGAAACGAATCTATTGAGATATTTAAATAGCCTGGAAAAAATTGTTAATAGAGACTAAGTATAATATCTATAATTGTTTTTCTCCTCCAGTTCACCACAAGAGTTCCTAGAAAAAGTCCCAATTACTTATTAATCTCTTTTCTGCCCTCCAGTGGGTCATATAGAACCAAGAATTAGTTTTTCTTTGTTTTATTCCAGTATTCCTGTTCTTTCCTTATAGTGTTTTTAACTTTAATAAGTATGGGTGGGGGATCAGCAGTCTTTTTCTGTGAAGAGTCAGACAGTAAATTTTTCAGGCTTTGGTGGTCCTAAAATATGTCCCAACTACTTAACTTGTAGGGCCATAGCAGCCATGACCAGAGGTAAACGAATGGGTGTGGCTGCATTTCCATACAACTTTAGTTCTGGAAACAGGTATTGGGCTGCTTCTAGCCTCTAGGCTATCTTTCACAGAAACTTGATACTATTTATTGCTCATTACTAGTAAGCTAACAGGGCACATATTGTATAGAAGATGAGAAAGTCAAAGATTCATTTTACAGATTTGCTCACTCAAAGCTATGTTGTTATTCATATGTCTCATGAATTGTTGAAGTATCTTAGATTATTATTTTTCTCGTCTAAAAGAGTGAACAAATTCACAGATGGGCTTTGTTCAGAACTGCGTGGTGGTACTGCAGTGTATCACAAAAAAGTAACAAAAATGCAATATTTTGATTTCAAGAAGAGAAGTGATGTAGGGTTTCATCTAAAAGTTACACTTGAGAATTTGCTTTGCTTTCCTTTATTCTGTAGTTATTTTAAGAATCAAAGATTCTAGGAAACAAAATTATAACTCTTAAATATTCAACTTTAGAAGTTATTTCCTTTTTGCCTTTTTGTTACAATGGCTTTATCTTGTTTAAAGATTGACTGCTTTTGAATTAATATGGGTTAGTTGTGAAAAAACAAAATTAACAATTGTAGGTAGTTTTAAGGTCAGGGGCAAAAATAAAAATACAGTATTGATCATTAATTCATCACTCTAATTAGATTTTTTAATTGCATAGATTTGCCTGAATTTTATTTTATGTTCTTCTTTTCTTCACTCCTATAACACCTTTGTCTTTCTTCTTTCTTTTTTCTTTCTTTGTTTCCTTTGTTTTCTTTTCTTTCTTTCATAATGATGTGGTTTGACAGATTTGCTAAACTTGACCAGTAGTCGGTGCTGAAGGAACTAAGGTGTGTGGGATTTTAAGTACAATTCAGTGTATCTCACCAAAATAGATTTGAGGGTTTTAATTACTCTTTCAAAATGAAATTGGTAGACATAGTAGAGATGGTTATAAGTACTTTAATTGTTACGCTTTTAAGATGCAGATACATTTAATATTTTTTTCATTCACATGGACCTGTACTTTAGTTCAGTTTCAGTATATGGAATATTCATTGTACAAATGAAATTAATTAGAAATGTTTTAATCTAGAGAATGCAGCACTCTCCTGATCTAATGAGCTTTCTGATGGAGTTGAAGATGGTTTTGGTAAGAATTTGTTTTCTAGTGCTGTTACCATATTCTATAAGTCTTGATGTTTTAAAAAAATTCCTTTAAAAACTAACATCATTGGAATTTAAAACTTCTCAACTCCCAGTCACTTAATGTTTTATTTTACTGTGTGTGTAAATGTGGGTGATGCTTTTTTTGAATTGCATGAGGAACAGAAATGTGTACAGGAACCAATTTGACTGTGTCATAAAATGGGTACATTTGACACTAGTCTTAGGTGGTGAAGAAATAAAATGTACTCCTGGTTTGTCAGAGAATTTAACATCTATGAAGAGATAGTCAAACCTAAAGATATATGTATAAATTTGTATATAGCTGCAGATTTCTGAAGAACTTCTTAGGCTTATTACATACATATACTTACATATAGTAATTGATTATTCTGTTAATCAATTATGCATAAAATACTTTTTAGTTTATCCTGTGGACATTGTATTATTTAAAAAATTGTTATGCAAGTTTTCAACATAAGCAGAAGAGGGAAGACTGCATAGTGAAAACTGATGGGTCCATGACCTGACATTTTGTCATTTTTCCCCCTACTCTTTAAGGAGAAAGGGACTAGAGTATTTTTAAGGAAATCCTGGACATTGTATTCATCCCTCCATGAATATATTGGTGTATACTTCTAACAGCTAAGTGGTTTTTTTAATGTTGTTAAATATACTATTATAACCCTGACAAAGTTAGTGGTAATTTCTTTTGGCTTCTCTGTATCTGTATGAGAATAAGGTCCACACATTATATGTGTTGATATGTCTCCTAAGTCTCTTAATTTCTAGCAGCATTTCATCTTTCCCCCACCCTTTTTTTTTTCTTCATGCCATTTACTTGTTAAATAAACTAGATCATGTGTCCTATAACATTTCTTGCATTCTGGATTTGGTTTATTAGATGTTCATGGTGTCTTTTAACATAGTCTTCTGCCTTTTTTTGTAATTCAGTCTCAACAGAGTTGGGTTCATTTTCTGGTAAGAATACTTTGTGCTGTGTGCTTAGATTGCATGAGGGAGGCACATAGTATCTGATAATTCCTCTTTTAGTAAAGTTAAGATTGATCAATAGATTTAGATCCATTGAATATAAAGTTTCATATCAACCTGTCACCTAATGGTTTTAGCATCCAGTGATAATCATTGCAGATGGTGATTTAAAAAATTCTGTCATGTACATTTATTATCTGGAGGTCTGTAGAGAAGAACTTCCCTTCATCAGTTATTTGGTTAATTTGAGGTATAGCTCATACTGGAGAAATAGGTTAAGTGCTTGTTTCTTTTCCCTTTTTTTTTTTTTTTTTAAATCAATTTTTAGAGTAATGAGTTAGTGCCTAGCAACTGTCAAAGGAAACTAATGATTTTTTTTTTTTTTTAGTAGCATTAAGAACTCATGGACTTTTATATATTGACTTTAGTCCATTGCAATCACTATACCTTTTGATGCTTAAATTGTTATCATTTTTGGTCAGTGTATCCCCCTTCATCTCGGCTTTTTAGTTCTTTTAACACAGCCCAAAGTTTGCTTTCTGACACCAGTTGCCCCAGTTTAATTTACTCATCCTTTTGCAGAACTATAATCAGTTACTTCTCTGAAGAGCCATGGTTTCTTTATAGGAGATGGTGTTTGGATGCCACAGATCTAGAAACTGGAGTGTTCTTGCTATTACTGCTAGGTCTTGTCAGTGGACAAAAACTAGGAAAAAATACTGTTTAGAAAGAGTAATTTATCATGAATTCATATTGATATTTCCAAGTCAAATTTGGCATTATAGCATTTTTACTTTGATATTCATGCTTGTGTTTCTTTTACTCTGAAAATCTTGGTTTCTAATATTAACATAATTATTTTTTGTTATGTTTTACTTGTTATGTTTTACTTATGCTTTCCTTATATCTCTATATTTATATTTGTCTTACAAAATTATAGTACCAATGTATTGGTACTAACAACAAGCAGTTTATTTTTTTGTAGTTCTTTTTGAGTTTTTTATTCTTAGTAGCATTTGCCACATACTAAGAGCTTAGTTGCCAGTTGTTCTGAGTCCTTTTTTCAATCCTCCTAACAAGCCTCTGAGGTAGGGCTTTGATCAAATGTTTGGGATCAGAATAGATTATAGTCAGTTTCTAAAGTTTGACTTATAAATTCATAAACCCTAATAAGAATTATCAAAATTGATTATGAATTTCATCAAAGGCCAAAATATGATAAACTTAAAAAAGATGAGGTGAAGATGTGAAGCATATTTTAGTTTATCCTTGACATTGCAAAAAAAGTCTGTAAGGTTTTTTTTTTTTAAATCTTTTTAGCATACTTTAAAAAAATGGTACAAATAAAAGGACTAAGGGACCAAGGTAAAACTATATATACTGTGTCCCATTAAGCTCTTATTACTAAAGCTAACTTTATTAGGTTGTAAGAACAGCTCTATTGGTCATTTAATTTTGAAGAAACTTACTGGTTTAAAATGTTGACATTGATCTCTGATTAACAATATTCTATTTAGTACATTTGTTACCGCGTTTCTCAATAAAATGACTTGCTGTATTTTAGCTTTCTAAAGAAATTGACAGATTGGTGATACTATTGCACATTTATGAACAGTATACCAAAGAAAATAAGAATTGCATTAGTTTATTTGTTGGGCTGTGTTGTCGGTAATAGGGTTCCTATAACATAATCACCAATGAAAGTATTGAGGATGATGTTCAAATGAAATGTGTAGTTATTGAACCTTTTCAGGAAATTGGTATATCTCCACTGTTTCCTAGTAATAACTAGGCATATAGGGGAGTTCAGTATATATTTAATTTATATTTACCTGTGTTTTAATAGAACTCTGATGTGGGTAGGTTTTGGGTTTTTTTTATTCCTCTTTAGGGCTTAGTCACTAAGCAGCTAAGGCCTTAAAATAGGAAATGGTAAAGTTAGAATTTAAAACCTTTGTAAAGCTTGTGCTCTTTCTACCATGTGTCTTGCCTCTTCTCTACAAAGAATGCTTTGCTTCTCTGACTTAGACCTTTTTCTTGTTGTGGTTCTGGAATAGGAGTAACTTGTCTGATTCAAGGTAGAAGGTAGAGTTTACAAATGTCATAAACCTAGGATTAAAATACATCTTTAAGTTTATTAGAGCACGCATGAGCTGGGGGAGGAGAAGACAGAGAGAGAGAGACAGGAGAGAGAGAATTCCGAGCAGGCTCTGCGGTGTCAGCCTGGAGCCCTATGCGGGGCTTGAACTCAGGAACCAAGAGATCATGACCTGAGCCGAAATCAAGAGTTGGACGCTTAACCGACTGAGCCACCCAGGTGCCCCCCAAATACATTTTTATTATCATCCAAACTTATTTTTACCTTCAATGTCTGTGGATAGCAGTATTTAATATTTCTGGATTTAAAAAAAAGCTTCAAAAGAATTACTGAAGCTGTTTAATATATATGTATAGGAATTACACTGACTTGTTTTTGTAGTAACAGGATAATCTTGATAGTAAAAATTTATTTTTATGGACCATCAGGCAACTTACAGATAACGTTAGGTATTTAGTTCATTAAAAAAGCAGCATACTTCTTGTCTAATTAAATCCAAATTGACATTTTGGGCTTTACAAACCTGCTTTCAAAGTTTTGTTGTTATTGTTTGTTTTTGTTTGTTTCTATCCTAAAGCAGATTTAGAACTGTGTTAATTTCAGTTAATAGTCCTGATTTTGAAATACTGTTTTTGAAATACTGTTGTGTAAAATCTATTCTTTCTGGTATTGTCTCAATTTAATAGTATTCTATCCTTGTTTAAAAAAGTGTAAGAACTTTATATATGAATAAAACTTAACACCTTTTATTAGGGTTGTAGAAACATGATTTTTTTTTTAACGTTTATTTATTTTTTGGGGACAGAGAGAGACAGAGCATGAATGGGGGAGGGGCAGAGAGAGAGGGAGACACAGAATCAGAAACAGGCTCCAGGCTCTGAGCCATCAGCCCAGAGCCCGACGCGAGGCTCGAACTCACGGACCGCGAGATCGTGACCTGACTGAAGTCGGACGCTTAACCGACTGCGCCACCCAGGTGCCCCGAAACATGATTTTTATACTTGTTCTCATCTGGTTTTATTATTTATTATATCTGACTTCTTTTTTAATTTATTTTTTTATGATCTCTTGATAATCCAGACCACATGTACATCTGTAATTTGCAAGATACATATATTTTCACTTTCCAAATGAGATATTTGTCTAGGTCAGCTCCTCTGAAGTAATTGATAATATTCAGCCCTAGCAATTTTAATGATGTTAGTATTGCTTGCAAAAAAAAATCTTAGTTTTTTTGAGGGTACATAAACCATCTTGAAGATATCATGGGTGGGCCTAGCAGGGAAAGGAACTGTGATCTAGCCAGATAGATGAAAAAAACACTTAACCTGGTCTGGGAATAATACAGAATGTTAAGTCAGTGAAAGAAAGTAGCAGGTGAATATTTACTGTAATAAAGGAATTTTGTTTGTAAGGGTGTGATTCAATTCAAGCTTTTCTTAAAGGTACATGTTTCTATCAAAACTTCTATCCACAGGAATAGAAAAATGGTGAAGCCTTGTTTTTTGTTTTTTTCTTTTAACTCTTATCTCTGATAAGCATAGTAGTCTAGGAAAAAATTTGATGTTTCAATGGTAAAATAACTGATATTTTCACATAACATTCTGTGCAGTCCTTCAACTTTTTCAGGTTTCTTTATAGGAGACTGGGAGTGATTCAGCTGGAATTTCTATGAAAGTAATGGACACTTTGGTTAGCCACAAAGGAAATTTTGAAATTGTTTTGTAATCAGGTACTAACAATTCACTGTCTAGCATTCCACAGCAGATTCAAGTTTTTTCTTTTACGCAGGAAGTTGCTTTAAAGAAGAAACAGGAGTTGTGTCCACCACCTCCTCCTCCCCAGTTCTACTCAAGCCTTATTGAAGAGATAGGAATTCTTGGTTGGGACAAGTAGGTCTATTTTAATATACTTCAGAAGTTTTTTTTTGTTTTTGTTTTTTTTTTTCACATTTCAGTCAATGTATTTGCAGTTTTAGCAATTTATACCCTTTTTAGTCAAAGTATTTGATTATAATTAGGGCAACCGATCATTACTGTGGCTATGAATTAAAGGGATATCATGTTTAACAAACTGATCTACAAGGTAAAATACTAAATATGATTTGGAAAAAAAATAACATTTTTATATACAAAATAAGATGTTACCATATTTTTATTGAATATAAATGTGTTACTGTTTTAGTTTTGTTGAGGTATAATTGACAAAGATTATAATATTTTTAATGTGTACAATATGATCATTTTGATTTATATGCATATTGTGGAAGAATTCCTATAAACTCGTTAACATCTCCATCACCGCACATATTTGCTTTTTTTCCTGATATTTTTTGGGCCATTGTTCTTGTGGCTGTTATGGAAGAGAGACTTTTAGGAACTTCTCACTGCCATTGTCCCTGACATCACTCAATATATTTACTGCCATTTTCACTGATAGCTTGCTGTATGTTTTCTGTTTGTCTCACCCATTTTGTGTTTTTCTCTCCCATCTGCTTTCATCTGCCTTTATTTGAAATAATCAAGAATTTTATTAGTTTTTATTCTATTAAATTGTTATACATTCTTTTACTGTTCTTCTAGAATTACCTTAGAAATTACAACATACATATAGCAAAATATACATTGTTACTGTTACCAGTTTTCTTATAAATCTCCTTAATGTGTTTTCTCATTTCTTTACATGTTGTATTAATGTTATCATACATTTTAATTCTCTATTTAAAATTGGCAAGCTTTAAAAAAAAATTTTTTTTGAGGGAGTGTGTGCATGAGCTGGGGAGGAATAGATGGGGGGGGGGTGGTAGGGGGAGGAAGGAAGGGAGAGACTTTTAAGCAGGCTCTACTCCCAGCGTGGAGCCTAATGTGGGGCTCTAACTCACAATTGTGAGATCATGACTTGAACTAAAATCAAGAGTCAGATGCTTAACTGACTGAGCCACCCAAGCATCCCCCCCACCCCCCAAGTTGGCAAGCTTTGTGATTCTATTTAAAGTCAGTATACATATATTTGTGTGTATATATGTGTCCCAGAAACAATGATTTCTCCCAGTGTTCTTCACTCTTTCCTGCATTTCTGTCCTTCTGTCTGGAATCTTTTTCTTCCTGACACAAGACTTTTTTAAATATTTTTTTTGAGATATAATTGACATATAATACTAGTTTTAAGTAGACAACATAGTGATTTGATAGATGTATATATCATGAAATGATCACAACAATAAGGCTAGCCAACATCCACCATCACACATACTTACACAATTTTTTTCTTGTGAGGAGAGCTTTCAAGACTTACTTTCGGGGCACCTGGGTGGCTCAGTCAGTTGAGCATCTCTTAATTTTGTCTTAGGTCATGATCTTAGGGTTCATGAGATGGGGTCCCATGCTATTAGTGTGGAGCTTGCCTGGGATTCTCTCTCTCCTCCCTCTGCCCCTACCCCGCTCATGTTCACTCTCTCTCTCTTTCTCAAAATAAAATAAACATTAAAAAAATTTAGTCTCTTAGCAACTTCCAAATATATAATACAGTATTAATTATAGTCACTGTGCTTTACATTACATAACTGGAAGTTTGTATCATTTTACCACCTTCACTCATTTCACCTCTGCCTCTGGCAACCACCAGTGCATTCTCTGTATTTGAGTTCTGTTTTTTTCTTTTATTTTGCTTTTTTTTTTTTTTAAAGATTCCATGTACAAGTGAGGTCATGTAGTATTTCTTTCCTCTGTCTGACTTGTTTTACTTAGCATAATGCCCTGAAGGTCCATCTGTGGTGTCACAATAGCAGGATGTCCTTTTTTGTGGCCGAATAGTATTTCATTGTATATTTGGTGTATATAATTATACCAAATTTTCTTTCTCCATTCATGATGTTAGCGGATACTTAGGTTGTTTCCATGTCATGGCTACGGTAAATATTGCTGCAGTGAACTTGGGGATGCAGCTATCTCTTCAACATTGTGATTTTGTTTTCTTTGGATGTATACCCAGAAATGGAATTGCTGGACCATATGGCAGTTCTATTTTTAATTTTAGAATGTGTACAGATTTATAATTGCTGTATCTTCCTGTGGCTTTTCATTTTTATCATTAAATGTTTCTTTTAGTCTCTGGTAATACTTATTCCCTTAATGTCTACTTTGTTAGATATTAATATAAGATTTCAGTGCTTTATTAAAATTCTTTTTCCCTATTTTCTTACATAGTTGTTTAAAAATACTTTTCTACTAACTCTCATAATCTAGATCCACCAGAGTTTTTAATTTTTTTTCTTATAGTTTTCAGTCATATAGTTAGTCCTGGGTCTTGGCATTCCTAGTACTTTTTTTTTTTTCCTTCTCTTTTTTCCAAATTGTCTGTCTGCTTTCTTCCTTTTTAGAGCAGTTTAGGTTCACAGCAAAATTGAGAAGAAGGTACAGGGATTCTTCTTGTACTTTTTGCCCCTATGTATGTGTAGACTGCCCTGTTATTCCCCACACCAAGGTGCTACATTTGTGATAATGGATCAGCTTCTATCCAAACATTGTTGTCACCCCAAAACCATACTTTACATTGGGGTTTACTCTTAGGCATGTACATCTTATGGTTTTGGACAAATGTTTAATGACCTGTATTTCCTCTGTGCTCCAAGTATCCATCCCTGCCTTCTTATCCCCTAACCTCTAGCAGCCACTGATCTTTTTACTGTCTCCACAGCTTTGGATTTTCCAGAATGCCTATAGTTGGAATCCTACAGTATGTAGCCTTTTCAGATTGGCTTCTTTTAGTTAGTAATATGTGTTTAAATTTCTTCTTAGTCTTTTCATGGCCTGTTAGTTCATTTGTTTTTACCACTGAATATAATTCCATTGTCTGGATATACCAATTTTATTGATCCATTAAGTTAGTAAAGGACATCTTGGTTGCATCCAAGTTTTGGCATTACTAATAAAGCTGCTATAGACATCTGTATGTAGGTTTTATGGTTTTGTTTTTTTTTTTCATCTATATTGGTAAATACCTGGACCTGCTACTTTTTTTTCTTAAGTTTTTATTTAAATTCCAGTTAACATACAGTAGTATGTTAGTTATGTTAGTTAGTATGTTAATTAGTTTCAGGTGTACAATATAATGATTCAGTACTTCCATACACCATGGGGTGCTTATCACAATCAGTGCACTCCTTAATCCCACCCACCTCCCCTCTGGTAACCATCAGTTTGTTCTCTGTAGTTAAGAGCCTGTTTCTTGGTTTGCTTCTTTTTTTTTATTTTTAATGTTTTTGCTCATTTTTTTAATTCCACATGAGTGAAATCATATGGAATTGGTCTTTTTCTGATTCTTCTATTTCACTTAGCTAATACTGTCTAGTTCCATCCATGTCATTGCAAATGGTAAGATTTTATTCTTTTTTATGGCTGGATAATATTCCATTGTATATATACCACATCTTCCTTAACCATTCATCAGTCAGTAGACACTTGGGCTGTTTCCATAATTTGGCTATTGATGACAATGGTGCTATAAACATTGGGGTGCATGTATCTCTTTGAACCAGTATTTTTGTATCCTTTGGGTAAATACCTAGTAGTGTAATTGCTGGGTGTAGGGTAGTTCTAGTTTTAACTTTTTGAGGAACCTCCATACTGTTTTCCAGAGTGACTGCACTAGTTTGTCTTCCCACCAACAATGTAAGAGGGCTCCCCTTTCTCCCCCCTCCTCCCCAATACCTGTTGTTTCTTGTGTTGTTGATTGTAGTCATTTTGACAGGGGTGAGGCGGTATGCCATTGTGGTTTTGATTTGTATTTTTCCCTGATGATGAGTCATGTTGAGAATCTTTTCATGTGGGCCCAAAACTTTTTTTTTTTTTTTTAACAATAAAGAGTAAAGGGTTTTTCTTTATTTTCACAATAGAATGGCTTGAATACTCTATAACAACAACAAAAATGTAAAACCTGAAATTTCCTGGTCTCTACTCAATAAGATGACTACTTTTTCTTAAAACAAAAAACAAAAAACAAAAACAAAAACTGGTAAAAGGGGAGAAGTGAAGAAATGAACTTAATATGCACATATTTTAGTTAATGCACCTTTTCTCACTGACTGTTGCTGGCTGTTCTTCAGTATTTGCCCTTGTTCATTAAGGCTAAGTGCTATGCCTGATAATCTTTTGCTGAGTGTTAGAAGTTGTGTATAAAAAAGTTGAGAGGCTCTAGATGAGGATATTTTCTTTGATGAAGTGTTTACTTTTTCATTTGCTAAGAAATAGAGTGGGGGCAGGTTACTGTAATCCTGCTAGAGACTGAACTGGTTCAGGTTGGGTTATATAGTCTTTGTAAGATTCACTGTAGTACGTACTGGTCCCCTCTCTCTCCTAAGCTATAAGTCTTCAGAACTTTCCAGTGGGAGCTAGGTGTGTTCATTGGAATTTCTCCTTGGTAGATCCTAAACTCTTATGTGTGTCTTTTTTTTTTTTTTTTTTTTCCCACTCATTTTTGAAAGACAGACAGAATCCAAAGTAGGCTCCAGGCTCTATGCACAGAGCCCAATGCAGAACTTGGACCCATGAACCACGAGATCATGATCTGAGCCGAAGTCGGATGCTTAACCGACTGAATCACCCAGGCACCCTTTATATGTGTCTTTTCACAAGTCCAGTTTACCTCCCAGTTGGAGTCAGGGGTCTGCTTTTGACAATGCTTCATCTACCTCTTGTTTGTTTTGCTTTTAGGGGTAGCCATACAAGAGTTCCCACTGAGAGCCTGGGGATATTCACTGGGGCTTTTTCCCACTAGTGGGAAATGTTAATTAATTTTTTCTTATATTATGAGAGATCTAATTATTCTCCTTTGGTTTTCATTGGATTTCTGCTTATTTTTTTCTTTTATCCTCTTATCCCTTGCAGTTTAAGGA